ATCAATTTGGGCGTATAAATGTGGTATTTGGTATATTTTGGTGCATTTTTTTTGAATTTTTGCCATTTTTTGCAGTGTTTCGCAATTTTCTTCAATATCGCCCTCCCCAGTGTGACTGTTTAGCCATCATGGGGGAATAAAATGTGTACTAAAATAAATTGTGGACCAGACACTATATTTTAAAAATCTTTTCTACCTGAATTGGTGGAAAAATGGTCGCATACTTGCAGAAACACGATTTTTCAAACTACCGACCCCGATTTGAGGCAGAAGGAAGGGTTTGATCAAGTTAAAATGTTCTACGCGTAAGTAGAATTCTTTACGCGGTTTCCGAATATTATAAGGATTTGGGGCCAAAAGCGGGTTTCTGCCCTGTTTTTGGCCTAAAATAGTGATTTTTTGTGATTTTTCGACTTTTTGAGCCTCCCCTGTCCCTCCAAAGGAGAGAGCGGCCCCAACCAATGGTATTATTTGATTCGTTGGAGTCTGCTGGGCATTTCATCAGAACACACCACCATCGTCAGACCACCTATTTGGTGTGTAAAAAAATTATATAGCCAAAAAACCCGTGAAAATGGTGAGATCAAAATTACATAAATTTTTTTTTTTAATTTTTAGAAAGTGCAATACTTTCTTTACGCCGAAGGCGCTCAATTGCTTAAATTTTCCAAAAATACGTAGAAAAATTCAGGCGTCGAGAGCGCTGAAAGCATCAAAAGTATTTGATCAGCTTATATATATATATTGAAGTGCCACTTGTATTTAAAGCGCCTTTTTCCAATTTAAAAATATTAAACAATAAGATTTCAGTATTTATTCCAGAGATGGAGTATATGTATATCAATTCGTTGTATTTACTGTACTCGGTACAGAACGGTATATATACATTGAAAACCTTTGCGTTAAACAACGCGTCCGCTGGCACTGAAGCGTTAGCGTTTATGTGTATGTATAGCTGTGTGCGTGAAGAACTTAACGCATTTATTGTTCAAGTAGAGATTCGGATTCACCATGTTTTAGATTTTGAGGTTGCCTACCATTTAAGCCCGAAAATTCGAAAAAATAAAACCACGTCTAATTGAATTTTTTCACATTTTATACTTTGAACCCACTTTTCAGGGCCTGAATGGGCCCGGATGGGGTGGTCGTAGTGGTTCTTTTTGTAGCCCCATCGATTATCTATTCAACCATGCATATAGTTTTGAAAGTTTGTACCACACTTTTCTAGTGTAAAAATGTCAAAAAGTACCATTTTTCGTTTTTTTCAATGTTTGGGTCACCCTAATTTTTAACCAGGTGGAGAAGGTCACCCTAATTTTTTGGCTTTGCGAGTTTTTGCCCATAAGAAGTTTATACACCAAGTTTGAGCGAAATCGGAGAGGTCACTTGCAAATTTTGTCCCGCTTGGTGTGGAATCGTCGTTATGTATTGCAACTGACACGATGAAAGTAAAAAACTGATTCAATAACTGAGAAGTATAAACTTTGAGCAAAGAAAAGACGAATAAAGATGCGTGCTTAGTGTTTCTTTTGATGTTCTACAAGATCTCTTTAATCGCTTGTTTTTGTTAAATGTTTATTTCAGTATTATTTATAAAAAAAAATGTTGTAAGTTTCTTGCTTTCACCTGTTAATGATAACCGGTTTTAATTGGGAAAAAATACTTTTTGACAAATTTCTTCGTATTACACGAATACTATTTTTCTAACCTAATAAATTACCAATATACTCACGTAAAATCGATGTGAGCAGTGTGCACCACAGAAATGAACTGAACTTAAATCGGTTTGAAAACAGGTGATTAGCATGGACCTTGCTAATTGTTTTTTAATTAGGCTGATTGTAACTGAACAGATGTGCACTTCAACTCAAATGTATCCAGTTTTACTTTAGAATTGGTTGGACCATACTTAAAATGTACTAAGTCCATCTATTTCATTTATGGCATCTTCTACGCCCAATCTAGGAACTCAGCTACTGTACAGTCAATCGGCGTTCTTCTGAAACATAGCAAAAATGTGCGTCGAACCAAATTATCGCATGTAAAAGTTAAAAATAAAAACGGATGGTTGCTGCAACGATATGAAAAGCTTGAGCATGTGGGATTGGGCGTAGAAGATGCCATAAATGAAATAGATGAACCTAGTACATTTTAAGTTGGGTCCAACCAATTCTAAAGTAAAACTGGATACATTTGAGTTGAAGTTCTTGTAGGGGAGATAATGATTAAGGACCAGTTGTATGACGTGCCCGTCGGTGAGTTTTGCTATTTATTCTCATCATATTGTGAGTTGGGAGAATGAGACACACATACAAACACACTCAATCGCGTCACAATCCGTTCGATCTATTATCATTTCTTTTCTTCATCTATTTCGACACACGTGAGCATTTTGCCACGTGACACAAATATATCATCATGCCGCGAAATCGCTCACTGTTTTATCCTCATGAAAACAAAAGTCTATTTCAATATAATTCATTTACATTTCTGACACTACGATCATACACAGACGTGTGCAAGGGGGGGGGGGGGGG